AGTTTGCTAATGACTTTGCAAAACTGTATCATTTATCTGTACTGATTATTTTCAAGGCCATATCTAAAATAAATATAATAAAGCAGAAAACTACATAGGCAGGTTTGGAACACATTTCTCACAAAAATTTCTTAAAGGAAATAATTTCCCTGGATGAAACTAGCAAACGCTATCTCATGCAATTGACATTGGAAGACATCACTGATAATGCGAAAAACAACTTTCCAATTCGCCCTATCCCACGACGAATGGCAATAGAGCCACATCTTAAGGGCGGAGCTTACTCGGGATCTCGAATATTCAATGTTAGGGAAAAACTTACATGAGTAAATAAATGTACAAATATTAGGGATTTGATTAAGAAACTCTAGGATTTCAAAGCGAGCAATGGCAACGTTATACAGAAAACATTTTTATCTTCAGCGCGTGAGACTGTATCGGATGATCAATTTAAAATTATTTTGCGATATTGCTCTTGAACTGAATTTTATGGTTTCAGTGCAAAGAACATGATATTTATTAAAAAAGGTAACACACAAAATGTTAAAAATACCCCCCTTTATACGTAATTTAAAATCTAAAACGTTTCAGTTTTTTTTTTTTTTTTTTTTTTTTGGTCCAAAAGGATTCGAGTCCCGTAGGACTACTTTCGTTTTGGCATTTTACATCGGTTAACTGTTGCCACCAAATGTTAGAGTCCTGCATTATATTTAAAAAATTAAATAATGAAAAATCTGCACAAATGTATGTATATTTCTCGCATTGTGATAAAACAACGGTATCTAGAGCCATCCAATTTTGAATGACGTAATCCTACTGCAAATATGGGCATCTGAAATCCCAAATTCGGAATTTGTTTTATTATTGATTTCGTATTTTGTAAAACTTTAACGAATTTTTGATTAACAAACTGAAGGATTTCAAAGCGAGCAATGACAACTATGTACAGAAAAAACATTTTTATCTCCAGCGCGCGAGACTCTGTATCGGAAATTCTAAAGATATGCTAAATTTAAAACTGTTTTGCGATATTGCTCTTGAGCTGAATTTTATGGTTTAAGTGATATTAGTGAATAGTGCTGAAGTTTATGGAATGTGATATTTAATAGGTAACGGTAACAGAGAAAATGTTAAAAAAAAAAAAAAAAAAAAAAAAAAAAAAAAAAAAAAACGCCCGTGATATTTAATAGGTAACGGTAACAGAGAAAATGTTTAAAAAAAAAAAAACGCCCCTTTGGGCGTAATTTAAAATCTGGAACCTTTCAGATTTCTTTTTTATATATATACATTGCGTTGTTTCTTAATTTGCCGTCAAATGCTGTGCATTTTGGATTATGCTCGTGTGACCACAATGAATTATTTAAATTATAAAATTAATATGAACATATTCCAAATAAATTAACACGTACCAAATTTCAAGTTGTTTTTAAGTATTATGAAATGTAATACTTGAAAAAGAAATGCACATGAAATTAATTTATAAATTAGTTTTATTTTTCAGGTGTTCGAAAACTGCAATAAATGTTAAATAATAAAAACTAACGAAACTGTATTCGTCAACTGGCCCAGTAGAACGCTAGATATAGAAGTATCCTTTTTTTTTTTTTTTTTTCCGCGCAGTGTACATACATACACATACACACGCATACATGTAACACACATTTAATCATTCGATCCGAATTAAAAATAGCTAAATGTTACTTGGCATTAAAAAAATTAACCAAAAAGCAGCCACCCGCAATGTATTTATAATTTGAAAAAATGGTCCTTAGACATAAAGAAGTTGGAAGCCACTTTAGTAAAGACTATTTCTCAGATATTCAGATACTTCATGTCATCATTCGAAGCACAAAACTTATTTATTGATGTATCAAATATGTCTATTTCTACCCCTGTGCATTCAAGAGAAATTATTTGAGCGATAATTATCACTTAATAATTCATTTTCATAGTACAAAATTACATAGAGAGAATTTTACTATATTTTCTGGCCTCACAAAAGTTAGATGTTTAAACGGATTCTTGCATTTTTGCACAGCTCCGAAGCCCACAGACACCCCTCTGTTTCTAGCACCCCGTGTTTTCGTTTCTTTAGAATTTACGATTTGACTGAAACTGGTCAGCATTCGATTGAGCAATCGGAAGATCAAAGAAAATACGTTGCCATTTTTTTTTCATTCCTAGAAACTCGTTCCAATAGAATATACACTTGCTTTGAATAATGTCACGTGGCATACAACCATGTCGAATGGATGTTATGTGTTGCTGAGAATTCTGAATGTAGATCAAAATTCTCACGAATATTAAGCAGACATATAGTCAGTTGAAAGAATGCTGACTCACGTTTATTTCTAAACTCTTTAAAGTGTAATTATTGAATGCTGTAACACAAAAATAATTGTAAAGCTTGATTTTTCGTTTGTCTTTATGTAGCATTATTAGCAGCTAAGTCACAAATCTTAAAAGGTATATTATGTCATTCATACCAATGAGATTTCAGTGGAGAATAACTGCTCTTTCCTATTTCGCCTGAGATTTTATATGCGCTTTTTTTTTTTTTTTTTTTTTTTTTTAAATTTTAATAATGTATATAGTAAGAGATTTACTGTGTACGACACAATCAAACTCATTTATGGCGAACCAAGTTTATAATAAACTCAATGTGTTTTTTTCAGTTTTCATGCATTCTGAAAAACGAAAGATATTATCCTTTCATATTTAATCTGTACGTTATTGACTAACACTATGAACTTTTTAAAGGCAAAGCTATGTTAGAAAACGATATTTATAATATGATTTTTTACTTTTTAATCGGATTAATATAAATAAAAATACTTTTAATTCATGATATATCTAATTAAAAATATGAAATATATTCTAATTATTAAATTGCGTGTTTTTCTTCAAATTTTAAAAATACAGGTGATACATAACAATCTCATGCATTCGAAATGGGTATTCCACTACTATTCTTTAAAATATTTTCTATAGCACTAAGCTACAGAAATACTATGAATAATCATTACTCCTAGATCATATATTAACAGAATAGAAAACGTGAAGTTTTCAGTCATGTATTACTATGCAACTAATCAAAGTTCAATGCACGTGTCCTGAATGACGACACGATTTCAGTTGATTTTCTATTTGTCTTTATGTATCATTAAAATTATTAGTAGATAATTAAGAAAGCTTAGGTGTGATATTACGCCATTCATATTGATGAAAATTTAATGTGCAATAGCTGCTCTTTCCTATTTCTTCTGAGTTTTTATTTCCGCCAAATATTTTTTTTTTTTAAAATTTATATAATATATATAAGAGATTTACCTTGAACGGTACAGTCAAAATCATTTAAAATTAACTCAACCCATGTGTTTTTTCGCTTTCCATTCGAGACTGTTGCCCTTTCGGGAAAATTAAATAACTTAATTTTCATAGTTAATCTGTTTGTTATTAAATAACAATCTGAACCGTTTAAAGCCAAACCTGCGTTAACGAAAATATTTATAGCACTATCTTGCACTTTTTAATCTGATTAACATAAATTAAAAAGCATTTAATTCCTTATATATCTAATTAAAATATTAAATACGTTTAAATATTTAATTAATCCAAAGGGGCAGTTTCCCTAGATGGACTATAAATTTCGCTTTGGGGCCCACCAGCGGCCCAGTGGTAAAGTCGCTGAACACTGGTAGTTCGGTTCGAGGTTCGAATTCCGCGAACGATCTGGCTGCATTGGGCGTTTTCGGGGTTTTCCCCATGTGTAACGTGTATACGAGCCAGTTTCCCTTAGAAAGTCCTTCCACGAAGGCATCCCTCCCCTTAGGCAGATAGCCCCAGTGTACTTTGCCGTAATTTAGCACAAACTACTTTTAAATAAGTAAAGAGAAATTCCTTTTGTAAACATTGTTGCAGAAATTCTGCCATTTGGTTTTGGTTTGGTTTGGTTTATTTAATTATGGCAAAGCACATTAGGGCTATCTGCCTAAGGGGAGGGATGCCTTCGTGGAGGACTTTCTAAGGGAAACTGGCTCGTATACACGTTACACATGGGGAAAACCACGAAAACGCCCATCCAGCCAGCCCGTTCGCGGGATTCGAACCTCGGACCGAACTACCAGTGTTCAGAGACTTTACCGCTGGACCGTTGGCGAGCCTTCTATTACACAGGACCTGTGTGTGCAGGATCACCTTCGAAATTAAGAGAGTTGTATTTAAAATCGGTGCTAAACTAAAGCTGCTTTCTTGCCTAATTTTATACTATTGAAAATACCAGTAATTGTCAAAATTATTCGTATACAATATGTGCCGCAGTTAACCATCTAATATACTACATTCAACGTTATTATTTTTCTTTTTGAATGTCAGGTTTTCATTATTTCTGCCAATATATCTGTAACAAGACATAAAGTTTGAGTTAATGTAGAATAGAAAATTACCTTGCAGCATATCCAATACGACTTAGTGGCAGTACTTCATTCTCTAGAAAAAACATTTTAAATTATTATACTTAATACTGCCATTTGAAGGGAAATCAATCAAAGAAATCATTTGCCATCATAGACAATGATAACCTATCAAATCACTGTGATGATAAATGATTTCCTATGAAAAAAAATCGTTTCCCAACATACAGGAAATTTAAACACGATTATTATGCATAAAATATTTTTCTTTAATATAGATATATAAAATGCTCATTGATTGGATGAAATTTTATATATTACCAACTTTTCTACATTAAAATTAAAATTAGGCAAAAGTTTACATTAAGTAATGTCAATAGAATATCATTTTACAAAGTGGTTAAAGTCTAATTTAGAATGCAAATGCAGAAAAATAAAACAAAGGGGCATACGGGCATCTTTTACATTAACAGGTATTCCTAGGGGCATACGACAAAAGAAGCAGTAAACTTTCCTAGCTGTTCCGTAGAAATCTGATCTTCAAACATTAAAACGTGGGGGGGGGGGGAACTAACAGTGTCCTTTTGAGAAATGGGATTATTTCTTCCTTTTGACCTGATCTGCATGTATTTATTAGTATTTAGTAAGCACTGAAGGTCTGACTGACCTAAAGTATGAAGTTCTGTGACCGAGCTTTCAAAATTAAAATACATTTATAAAGAAAGCGCAGCAAAATTATTTCTAAGCAGTATCACCAGACAGTGTCTTTGAACTCTTCTAGAAACACTTAAATTATTTAAACAGAGAAACACGAATTTAACTGTGTTATTGCCGGATTGAAGCAACGGATCTTCAATTTGTAGGTCGGATGTTACGTGTTAACAATGGCTTATGAAAGAGTCATCATTGGCACAGGGGCTACAGTGGCTAAACATTTTCATAAGTTTTAAGGGTTATTATAAAAACATAGTTTCCTGTTATAATGCAAGGTACTTATTATTTAGCAGTCATTTTCTTATGCAAAACATAAACGTGCCAAAAACATTTAATAAAAGTAAAGGCATGCGAAACGCGAGATTATACACCCAGATCTTCGATGATGTTTAACCGATACTTTCAATACTGAATATATCACAAAGTAAATACAGTTTAAATTACATAAATAATGCATATCTTTGCTTATATTTTAGTTTATAAAGAATTTCTTAGAATTTGTCTGACGGAAATGATGAATATGTGATATTGAATGTTATTTGCCTGTCTCATAAATTTATTAAGTATAAGGGAAGAAACCAGCTTTCATTGTACAAGAAAGACGATGCCTTTATTACGTTTAATATTTACGTGAATAACCTGTCCCTGTAATATTAATTTTTTATTTTTTTTTTTTTTTTTCAGGCAACGGAACTTCGTCTCTTAATTAAGGAGGTCTACGAAAGTTACACGAGTGACTTTTCTGACGAAATTAACTCTAATTTGTTCTACTTGATGGAAAACAGTGATGTTCAAGTAAGAATTAATCTACTGATGTTTTATCAGCTTACTGTTATGTATTTCATTTAAGACATTTTAATTATAGCAGATGTTTATTTCCCTTGATAATTCCAAATTAATATTTTTATTAGTACTTAGAATTGTATTTAAACCTATTTTAATATGCGTTGAATTATCTTAGAACCACATGTAATTAATACAGTAAGACAATACACGTACACTAGGCACTTAATAACATTATATCACATGTCCCCCCTCTTCTTCTTCTTTTTTTTTTTTTTTTTTTTTTTTTTCCTCTTTGCGTGGGTGTGAACACGCGCGCGTATGTGTATGTATGTGATTTAGGCCCAGAGATACAAGAGGAGGAGTTATTTAATGTGAACTAACTACATAGTTTCCTTTTTTTTTTTTTTTTTTTTTTTTTTTTTTTTTTGAAGACACGTCAATGAGGATTTAAGACTACCATCAATATCATAGATAGGTAGATAGTCCTGTGATTCATAATTATCAGTAAAATTTGACTAAGACTGGATCGGTGCTCCCTCCAGTTAGATGCGAAATTTATTGACATTCCTTTTTGTAAGATAAAATTCTATTTTCAGATTCCATTTGTTCTCATTTCGCATAACGAATCAAAAATTTCTGCAAGTGATTATTTTTAACTTTCTTTCTCTTGTTTGTTTAACTCAAGTTGAATATTTTAGATTGACTTTCATGTACACATTTTAAAATTGATGATGAAAATTTCATGAGCATATTTTTGCTAAAAAGTAAATATTTTCTGCGATCAGAATTATTTACAGTTCTAAATGCACTGTACATATCCGCTTTCACAAAGCATTCTAAAAAACATTCTATCTTCAGGAGGGTAATTTCTGTTAGGTAGTAATTTAATCTCGAATATCTTAATCTTTTCTTCTTATACATACTTCAGTTTAAGGGGGGGGAAAATCTGTGCTAATTAGTTGCGATTTATCCAATAAGTTTTAAGAATTCTTTTGCACCAATTAATGAAAGCGAGAACAACTCCAGGATTCTCATACTCCGCGAACGTTATTCCTGAACGTTCAAATGCATTCGTATAATTTGTAATCTGATCTTCACAATGGATTTCAATTTAAGGGGAAAAGAATAATATGTTAAACTGTTATGATTCACCAAAAGGTTTTAATTATTAATTAATAATTGTTGGAATAAATTATCAATTAATTATTTTGCAAGCAATGATTGTATGAGCCATGACCATTGAGTCAACGAATGCCTCTAATCGGCTACGAATGCTTCGAATCGGCAAAAATTACGCACGGTGAATTAAATGGGACTTTTTTCTCAGATTTTTATAATATTAAACAAATAATTTAGAAAAATACACTAAATTTTTAACACACTTGGATTGTAAGAAATGAATTTTTTATTGTTGAAATTTTTCAACACACTATACATGCCAAAAATTGTTTATTCAGTTTTACCATTGGCTGGATTTTGAATTCGGACTGAATTACTACGAATTACCCCTCCGCCATGTGAGACGTTTAAAAATTGAAATCATTCTTAAACTAAATTTGTTGCCTTCAATGGCTTAATTCTCAATTTCTTGCCTTAAATTGTACTGAAAATATAAAATGTCAAATATATCTGTATCTGATCTTACCATGTTTCAGAAATTTTAACATCATTTTATAACCCTTGAGAATTTTTAAATTCTTAGCATTTTTAATAACTATCTGTGCATTTCCCAGAAATCAATAGACAAATAACTTTATTTTTTTTTTTTAATTTGTGTCTACAATGGCACTGCGCTGAAGATGATTTAAAGCGATTTGTTTCTGCGAAATATTCTAATTTATTTAAGTGAGTATAGAATTGTTGAAGGAATTTTTTATTCACGAGCATTTGGAAACCAAGCGTTAACAAATGTATATTCGAAAAGGTGGATAGAGAGTTTGGCCTCAATAGCGCATTTTCTTTGATGTTTAAGTAAATTACGGCAGTTATTTTCAGTGAAACTTCAAATATTCATAGGAAAATAATTTGAATCACAACCACCATAGCTTATAAAACAGTTTCTAAACTATAGTTCTTGATTTTAGCTTAAGTGAAATAGAAACATTTTATTTTTCAAAACCGTACTCTAACAACAGCTTATTTCCTTTCCCAAACAGGATAGCAGTCCCCCTGACGAGTCTAAGAACGACCACGGAGTCAAATCAGTCCCATCAATTGCTGATCACGTGAAACTGATGAAGAGAAATTGCAAAAGAAGATTCTCCGAACTGGAAAACATACCTTTAGACATGAGGGTTCAAGCCAAGAGAAACAAAAAAAAAATCAGCTCATAAACGGAGAAAAGTTAGCGGTGATGTTAATTGACTGGTAAGTACTTAATGTATTTTTGAAATGCATTTTTATTAAATTATACACTTTGTGTTAAAAGGTCTAGCAAACATTTATTACTGAACTTTTATTTTAAACATAGTTTTCTAAAATTAACTAAGTTTTTTATAAATGAACTCAGCATTTTGTATAAAATTTTATAACAGATAACCAGCGGTTCTTCACCTTTTGGCTAACGCGTACCATCTAAACAAAATTGAAAAACCTTAGAACCACCATTACATTTTACAGGGATTATTTTTCAATTTCTCAATAAATATGTTTTGCCATTTGTGCAACGTATTGGCTATTCGTATTAAATATGCACGAATAACAAGATTAGATTGAAAATTGGGTACCATTATACTTATTACAACTTCAGTTATAAGAACTAAATTCTAAAATTTAGTGTTAAATTTGGGCTTGTTAAACGGAAATCAATTGTTTATTTGTGGTCTTAATTTCACTTCGTTTTAACCGTAAATTATGATCCACTTTTAATATTCTTCTTTATTTATTTTTCAAATATAACACGGAAGAAAATCCTTGTTCACACAAATAGGTTTGCAAAAAGGTGATAAAAATATAATAGCTTTATTTTAAATGCCTTTAATTTTTTTTTTTTTTTTTTTTTTTTTTTTTTGTGTGTGTGTGTGTGTGTGTGTGTGTGTGTTCGGCCAAACGTTAATAGATGTTATTTTTTAAATCTTCAGTTAAAGTTCGATCACAGGAAATTTATATCAAGTGTTCTTTTTTTCACACGATTTTTGAATTTAATAGTTAAAACTATTTAGTTTCTTTTACGTACCACCTATTTTGCTCCTGCGTACCACCGGCTGAAAATCGCTGATCTAGACTATCGCTAGAAGGGAATTAAATGGTGGCTAATAGTTGAATTTTTATGAAGCAAAAATATGCAGTGCATTGGGAAAACTGTGAATGACGTGAGATTTTTCTCTTGTGGTTACTTTATTTTATTTTAATAATGGAATTCTATCAGGGACAATAATTTAGGAAATAACAGGTTTTAACTCATATTGTTTTTAAAAGTGTGTTAATTACATGCACAGCTTTTTTTTTTTTTTTTAATTTTTTGTTGTGTTTTACTTTTTATGGCAAATTTATGCTTATTTTGTAGGTAAATTTTCTTGGCCGCTAAAGAAGTCCCTCTCCTGCTGTATCATACAGATCAACATGCCAGATCTGGGAAAACTTTTTCCTCCAGAAGTGTTTTTCATGTTTAAACCTGAACCTTTCATTAGGAAAATGACCCATATTTTTCTCCTAAACTCCCTCTCCTAAACAAACCAATTTGTAAATACAAAATCAACTTGTCAACTATTTTAAACAATTTTTCTATGTAATTTTTTAATTACTGTGCGGTAATAAAGTTATTTTAATTATTTGCATCTTGTGTAACGCTTGTATAATTTTGAAAATTTATGTTTGTAATAAATGCGGTAATTAAGGTTAAATTGTTTAAAAGTTTGCAACATTTTATTACTGATTAAATGTACTGTTGTTAAAAAGTTTTGAAATTAAAATTTTAAAAAGTAAAAAAAACTAACTTTGAAATTTATAAATAAGTAATTTAACTGAATTTAATTTTAATATATATTCAGGAATGTAACTGAATGACATATATTTCTGCACGGTGCAGGATTTTCGAAAATATTAATAGTCTAACAATAATTATGATATTCCAAATAATAAATAACAAAAATTTGGAATAATTATATTATTCAACTAATTTTTATAATTATATTATTTACTTCTTATTCATAAATCCGAACTTTCTGAATAAATTAAACAATTTTTGCAAAGTATATTCCTATGCTAATATGTTCATACGGACAAAAAAATCTAAACTTACTACGCACGACTAAGATAGATTAGTAATTAAGCAAGAATTAATATACCGAATTGTGTTTATATTTATTTCCTCTACAAGTCTCTTGTGTCACCCAACCGCACATTGTAACAAATAGCTTACAAGCGAATAAAACATATTGCTTCTCTTAAAAAACTAAAGGCGATTTAATTGTTTATCGCAGACCTAAGTTTCTTATTTACTTCTCATCATTTTCAATTTAAAATTTCAAATATATGACATTTATTCTTCAATTCCTTATATCCAAGTTACTAGTCAAAATGGTTCTTGTTATACATACACCGAATGACGAAAAACACCTCAATTAAAAAAAAAAAAAAAGTTTGTGTTTTAAATTTGCTATGCAAGGCTTTTTGCTATTCTCTGTTAACCTTATATCCCTGTATTTCATGATACATGGATGTGAATACTTAACGCTAATGTACTTTATAAAGTTTCCCATATATTTTATATTAATTCACACGTTAAGAAATAAGCAATAATTAAGTATTCTGCTATGCTTGAAGCCTACAGTTTAGAAACAAGGTTAAATTTACTAGAAACTAGGTTAAGATTATCACGCGCAATGCTTTTTAAATTCTATGTAGTATATACAATTTGGTATGAATACAGTCTTTCTTACATAACAATGTATGCAATTAACCGATGTATGTTCAGCAAGAAATAAAGGAAGAGCGGATTCTGCAAGTGATGGTATATTATCTAAATACAGATTTTTAATTAATTTAGAAAATCGTATAATAGCAATTACTCATGAAAAGGCAACTTTATGACTATTTAAGAGGTTTTTGAATATATAAATTTATTTTAATAATAGTTTTAATGAGAAATAAATTGTAAGTATACATTCAAATGACAGTAAATTAAATTTCAATAATGTACTTTAAATGAAACATCAGTTTCCTTCTCATGAGCAGAAAAAATTACTTATTCTCGCTATCACAGAATCCCTCATGAACGATCTATAAATATATTTTTAAGACATCAAAACATGAATATTCACACAAAAAGTAATGGAAATTCACTGACATATACCAACAAACAAAGAGTAATTATTTTCTTAAAAACCAAAAGGCTATCGACAGCGCAGTCTAAAATAGGTTTCGTAAAAGTAAAATGAAGTCTCGAGTACGTACATTTTATGGAACATGGAATTAAACTCCAGTATGAAAAGGTTTTCTTTGAAAACACAACGTTATCGCAAATATGTAACTTCTGCGGAATAAGTAAATATTCCATAATTTGTGTTTGAAAGTTTAGTTGTGATGCAGGAAAATAAACATTAAAGGATTAAATGCGGATAGCCGTGTGCATTTTTGTAAATAAACAAACATATGAAACATTTAGGAAACTTTTTCATATTTTCTGTTTTGTGTGTATTATTGACAACTCAAAGGAATTTTCTGTATTGAGCTTAAGTGATTACGAAATGCATTGGAAAATCGAAAATTTAATAATCACCAAGAATTCAATATTTTACCAAGAATGAAATGTCATATATAGTGCAATGATATCATATATGTGCACATGATGTGCAATAAAATATTAAAACTTGACTCTCTGTCCATCAGTGCAATACAAAGTGTCAGCAAGTATAATTTTCTATACTGAGCTTTTGTCAAATACGAAATGGTTAAAAAGCAAAAAGTAGTAATGTTTTAGTACCGGAGTACGAACAAAATTCCCCCGTTAAGCAAATGGTTTGAAAATGAATCAGAAATGTATACAAAAGTACTTTCATATATTATTCTTTGTAATAAGTGATGAATGATTTCTTTTTGGTGGAACGAAGTCATAACCTACCAAACTGGTAACGATACACTTAATTCAACTTCAAGACCTACTTGGACACATAGAGGAAAATTATGACTTTTTTGATATAATCAGAGAACGTCCGACTTTTTCGCTTGACATTATAAATAATTCAAAGTCGCTGATCCATCATGGAGACAGTTGTTATGCAAGTTTAATAGTTTGTTTCGAATATGATAAGGAAGTAATTTTTGAATCAAACAGAAAGGTTTTGCAAAATAATGACTCTAACTCGCCCAATAATTTAAATTAGAAGGGAGCTGATGTTTTTTATGAAGTTATTGATATTTAATTGGACTTAATTCTTATGAAATTAATGTAATTTCTTTTTATAGCAATGCATGTGTGTTATTCAAATTCCATATGAAATAGGTTCAGTTCACATCTGCTTGTATAGGAATAATATCTCTGTCAGTTAAATTTTTACCCATCGCAGTGTAATACTAAGATAAATTTCACTCAATTTGAATCACCCAAACCCGTAAAAAATGATGAAATGCAGCAATATCATGATTTAGTAAACTTTGTTCTGGTCTCCTTAGAAGGCAATGTTAAAAAAGATAATGAACTACAAGAAAATAACTGAAAAAGTGATGATTAGTAGCGATAGCAATATAAAAAAGAGGTAACATTTTCAAAGTTTCCAAAAAGTTATCTATAAGGAATTTCCTAAAAAATATGTTTTTAAAATATAATATTGCCCTTGTTCGCAGATTATTTCCTTGAGAACTGAAAATTGTAAGTTCTATGATTGAAAATTTAGCCGTGGGGTAGGAAAAGAATCATTACATGATTGAAAATGAGGGTACTCAATGTCAACTTTCTTAAATGAATGGTACTGAATTTTCAGGAAATATTCACTTATTTTCTAACTTGTTTGTAACCAAAAATACATTCGGATGCGGAAATTAATAACATTTCGGAAAACGTGCCTAGTACTTTACGAAATGTATCTCATCTTATTTATTACGAATGACAGTCATAAAAAAATTAAATGTTATATATCCTTCAAGCGGCAATTAAAATAATGGTACAGCGTTCCATTAAAATATTGGCTCCAGAGTTCAATTAAAGAAAAGTTCCTTTGGAAGTGTGGTTCCTTTTAGATTAAATTATCAGGTTCAGTGTTCCTCCTTACTTGCTTTGGGAACATTAAATGACTGACTCGGAACAGGGAGCTTACTAAAGCTATGTTCAATAAATGTGGGAAGTAGACAAGATACACAGGAAGGGTATACGAAACCCTTTATTTTTCTCTCTTTACAATGAATTTCCGGACTTCGGAATACAGAGACCAACCACTTGTGGTCTGAACGTAAGAATATAAAAATAACTAAATTCTAACTAAACTAACTTTGGATTAATAAACAAGTGTCTACTTGAAAGATTGGCCGAATATTAACAGAAAGCCGTATGTAGTACAGAGAACTGTTAACACAACGATACGTTTAAAATTATCAAGAGGATTAAACCTCTGGCCTGGAAGGCAACCAGCAACCGAGTAAAACTTCTAAGGTAAGCGGCCTGCTTCCTAATCACTCCTTCTTCTCTCTTGCTTGGCAAAAGCCACAACTTAAGTACTTGGCGTTCGCCAGACAAATTTGCATAAATAAGTTAAAGCTTTTAATTCTGGCCGGAAGTAGAAAATAAGAAGTGATAGTAAAGATTTAAAAATAAAATAAACGTTAGTAAAACTTAAGATCCTTACATACTTCCCGCCAGAGTTAATTAGTTTGAAACTGAGGTCTAAAAACGACCTTGTTGAAAACTTTTAGCTCTAGAATCTAACGCGAGGCCAATCTTTTACAAACATTTCTCACTAGAAACTAGAAATTTAAAAAGGAAAAAAATCGTTTTTTACAATTATCAGCTCCATGGACAACAATTTTTTCTTTTCATCTGTACTGCATCTAGAACAGGAGCTCTTATTCAAATTCTGGTTCCTTCCAGAGATCTGGAAGGAAAACTAGTTTAATGAAATGTTACAACAATGAAATGGCAAGTAACATGCATATATTATATTTCTCTTAACATTCTTATTTCATTCATGACTTTTATTTAATTCTCTCCCCGTGCTCTCTGACATGTGTTGTAAAAGAAAACACCAAACACGAACGTGTTTATGTACAAGTGTTCAACACTTCGCCTACAATCAAAACACACTAACGTGTTAAAATTCAACATAACAAGACCTCATAACACACCTTAATTCATCTCTAAAACCCTGAGGTACTATTCTGAAAGTGGCTAACTCTGAAGTGTAGCGTCAGAGAGCCTAACTACATTCATTCAACCTTTAACACATATTCACAATAATTTGGCTATTTTTACAGTCACACGAATAAGTTAAAATTTTTGGCATTACTTTCACTTTTACCATATCACAGTATTTCTTAACTTCAAAATAACAGTTCACATTGTATAAAGAACTTAACATGCCGTTAATTTTACGCATTTTAAAACATACATTAGTAGTACATTGTTAACTTCTATCCTTTTCCAAGCAAGTGCCAATTCTTCTA